GAGGCTGCTTTGATGAGCAGAAGTCTGAGTTGGCTACACGTAGCACGACGGCTACCAGGCTCTCACAGAGAATGGTTCTGTCCATCAGCGCCAGAAAGAACTATGAGGTCGAGTCCCTCGACATTGCTGGAGCTTTTCTCAAGGGCTTCACTTTTGATGACGTCAAGAAGACACTCCAGCCACGAGGACTTCATGCACTGACCCGTCGAGTTGTTGTGCTTCCACGCATGAATGTCTGGCGCCATTTCAATGAGATGAAGGCCGAGAACTTGCAGGTCCCGGAGCATGCTTTGCACTTGTATGGACTGTTAGCCATCAAGCCAGTGTATGGTTTGAATGATGCTCCTTTGGCCTGGCAGTTTGCTCTCCACGACTTCGTACATGAATGTGGAGGACGACCTTCAAAGATGGACGAGAACATGCGTGTGTTCAAGTCTGACAAGCCAGATGAGAGCGGCGACAGCGTCGCAGGAGTGCTCACCAGCCATGTCGATGATCTAGCAATTGGTGGAAAGCAGTCCTGGCTGGACAACATGCGTGACAGCTTTGTCAAGCGCTTCAAGAATCACACGTCAACAGATGCCCTTCACGCACTGTGGCTGCATGTATGAGAAGACCACACAGGGCTTCAAGATCCAGCAGACCGACTTCCTGGAGCGCATGCGTCCATCAGAACTGCCAAAGAAAGGAGACGATGAGCGCCTGTCACCGGAGGAGACGACCCACTTCAGGTCGATTCTTGGAGCATTGCTTTGGCTCACTTCCACCCGGCTCGACATCATCGCCGACGTCTCCAGCTTGCAGAGCAAGGTCACCACAGCACAAGTATCAAGAAGGCCAATGAGATTCTGACTCGCGCCTTGGAGGACAAGCGCCTGCGCTTGCATTTCAGAAGGTTTGAGACCTCGCATCAACGGATCATGGTAGTCCATGATGCTTCATCCGCCTCTCAAGGCAGGCACTCTGCCCAGGAAGTGTCCTTGTGCTGATGGCTGCTGACAAGTTCTTTGGCTATGAGCAGCCATATGAAGTTGCCTGCACAGATGCGCAAGCAGCATTGCATGGTGGAGTGGCACATGTTTTGATTTCCTATGGAGCCAAGGCCAAACGTGTTTCATATTCCACAAGCCACGGTTGAGGCTGCCACTCTTTGCATGGTTCGCCTAGCTGAGCTCATGTTGCCGGGCGAGCCTACCTTGTCGCAGTTGATCAAAGTTCAGGAGAACGGCCACGACAAGCTCCCCATTGACGACTACGGAGATTGCAAGGATGTTTTTGAGTTGGTCACTGGCATGCGCACTTTGCCACAGGACAAGACTCAGAGATTGTACATTTTGGCCCTGAGGGAGACTAGGCTTTCAGGCCGCATGCGACAACTTTGTTTGGTCCCAACACAAAGTATGACGGCAGACCCCTTGACGAAATCCATGGTGTTGGAACCCATGAACTTGCTTTTGTCTTGTGGGATCATCCGATTCCGCAATGAGCCAGGACACCCAGTTTTGATTTTGACTAGGAGCATTCGCATGGTCAATGACCTTGATGAGGAGCATTTGTTGCGAAGCGGTGCTGAGGTGATTAAAGAGGTTGAAGAAAAGAAGGCCACATCGAACCAGGCCACATCGAATCAGAACATCCTCTTCAGCGCTGGCTGCGCCGCTGCAGTTGCTCTCCCAAAGGCCGTGCCACGAGCGCTAGTTTTCGGGGCGTGTAGTGTAGGAGCCATGGCGATGACTGAAGAGCACGCAGCCATGGCGAGCGCTGATGCTGCAGATGGCGGAAGTTTTTCGCCAATGTGGTGGCTGATCGTCTCCACCATCGGGATCACGATCATGGTTCAGACGATGATCCAATGGTGCTTCCACAAAGGTCAACATGTCGTGGTGGATAACCCCTTTGCCTCAGCCAGCAGCGCCCTATGTTGTGGACCAGGACGATGACGTCCCCATGACACCAAGAGAGGAAGCTGAAAGGACTCGTCGACGACGAGATGATCGAGACCAAGCTGCGCGACTGGCAGAAGCTCGAGAGACCGCAAAGGTCTACAAGCAGCAGTGCCAAGAACTGCTGGATGATCGCACCCGAGCTGATCAAGATCAAATGGACATGAGCGCCACCTTGCAGGCGACCATCGACGAGGTCAACGACCTGAAGAGACAACGGGAAGAATGGGCCCGGCAGAATGGCGTGCTGCAAAGCACCTTGAAGGTCAGTGCTAATGAGATCAAGGCACTGGACAAAGAGCGTGATGATCTTCGACGGCAGTTGCTTCAGCAACAGCAGAAGAATCTCTTTGATGCTACCTCAACAGCATCACCATCCAGTGAGCAGCTGGAATCATTGCACCGCAAGAACTACGAGCTGACGGTGCTGAATGAAGGTTTGAGGTCGACCAACAAGACCTACAAGGATCGGTTGCGCGAAAGCCATCAGGAGAATCATCGACTGAAAGATGAATTGAGTTTGAGGCCACCATGGCCAGAGAATTTGGCCGTGACAGCTGAAGGACAAAAGACCCACAAGCCAGAGTGCCCGCGAATCAGCTGCAGCAAGAGCATAAAGCTCTTTTCTAGGTGCAAATCCTGTTTGCGCTGAGCAGGTCAGAACACGAAAAATGACCGGAGTCAATTTGCATAGGTCAGGTGAATCACACCAGAGTCAGGCCGGCCTTGGGCCCAAAAGAAGCGAGTCTTTCTATCTGTCTATCTTTCTATCTTTCTGTCTTTCTGCCTTTCTGTCTTTCTGCCTATCTATTTATCTATCTATCTATCTATCTATCTGTTTATCTAGCCATCTAGCCATCTAGCTGCAGCTACCTGTTCATTCATTAATTCCTTCGTTCGTTTGTTCGTCCGTCATTCATTCAGTCAGTCAGTCGAACAGTCAGTCAGTCAGTCAGTCAGTAATACCATTCCATTCCATTTCGTTCCGTGTTCGTTACATTTCATTTCAGGTCCATGTTCATGTAGATTTTCATGTTTCATTTCATTTCATGTCATTTTCATGGCATGTCATGTCATTTCATTTCATTCCCCGAACAGTTTACTGTTAGGGGTTCCAAATTCTTTCTTAAGATGTGTCCGCCCTTTGCACTGCTGGTGTCCGCCCTTTTCCGCTGGCCATGTAGCATGTCTATTCATTTGTCTCCCAGGTCTGTCGCTGCAGGTGTCCACCCTTTTCCGCTGGCCATGTAGCATGTGAATTCATTTGTCTCCCAGGTCTGTCGCTGCACATGTCCGCCCTTTTCCGCTGCCGATGCAACATTTCTATTCATTTGACCCCCAGGTCTGCCAACGGTTCCGCTGGCCATGCAGCATTTCTATTTCCTTTGTCTCCCAGGTCTGTCACTGCTGCGCTGGTGTCTCGCCCATTTCTGCTGGCCACGTCGCATGTCTAGTCATTTGTCTCCCAGGTCTGTCGCTGCAGGTGTCGGCCCTTTGCCGCTGGCGCAACATTTCTATTCCTTTGTCTCCCAGATCTCCAGATCTGTCACTGCTGGCGTCCGCCCTTTTCCGCTGGCGATGCAACATTTCTATTCATTTGTCTCCCAGATCTCCAGATCTGTCACTGGTGGCGTCCGCCTTTTTTTCTACTGGCCATTCATTTGTCTCCCAGGTCTGTGCTGGTGTCCGCCCTTTTCCGCTGGCCGTGTAGCATTTCTATTTCCTCCCCAAACAGTTTACTTTGAGTTCTAGATTCTTTCTTAAGATGTGTCCGCCCTTTGCGTCACTGCTGGTGTCCGCCCCTTTCCTCTGGCCACGCAGCGTTTCCTTTACTTTTGTTTCCCAGATTCGGCGCCTGCACTGCTGGTGTCCGCCCTTTTCCGCTGGCCACGGAGCATCTCTTCGGGAGACAAATGAAGAGACATGCTGCGTGGCTAGAGGAAAAGGGCGGACGCCACCAGTGCAGGCGCCGAACCTCCTTCTTTTTGGCCATTGCGTCCGCCTTGTCTCCCTTCTGTTTCCCTTTCTCTCCGGTCTTGTCTTGTCTCCCTTCTTGTTGTTCACTGTGTCTGCTTGTCTCCCTTCTGTCTCCTTTTGCTTCGCAGAGGTTGGCACCGCGCAACAAGAAGGGAGACAAGCCGACACAGTGACCAACAAGAAGGGAGGCAAGACCGGAGACAAGAAGGAAAACAAAAGAAGGCAGAAGGGGGACAAGGCGGACACAATGACCAACAAGAACCCTTTACATGTGTCCCCCAGTCCACCATGTCGCTTGCAATCCTTGACTGCTCTGTCCGCCTTTCGCTTGCAATCCTTTACATTCTCTCAGCTGCTGTACCCGCCTCTGCCTTGCAATCCTGAACAATACATTTGTCTCCCAGCTCTGACTGCTGTGTCCGCCTTGGCCTTTCAATCCTTTGCACTTGTCTCCCAGCTCTAGACTGCTGTATCCACCTCTGCCTTGCAATCCTTGAATTTACATGTGTCTCCCAGCTCTCGACTGCTATTTCCGCCTCTGCCTTGCACTCCTTTGTCTCCCAGCTCTGGTCGCAAACTCTAGTTGCAGAGTGTTCCGACGTTAAAAACACAAACTGTTTGGAGTCTACGGTGGTGTAATTTCTTTTCATTCATTCAGCCATTCAATCATTCATTCGTTCCTTCACTCACTCAGTCACTCACTCACTCATTCATTCGTTCGTTCCTTCGCTCCTTCGTTCGCTCGTTCCTTCGTTCGCTCGCTCGCTCCTTCGTTCCTTCCATCCATCCATCCATCCATCCATCCATCGGGCGTGCGTGCGGGCGGGCGTGCGGGCGTGGGTGCGTGCGGGCGTGCTTGCTCATTCATTCATTCATTCATTCTTTCTTTCATGGCTTTTATGTTTTCCTTCATTCACTCACTCAATTTTTCTTTTTGACACCTTGCTTTGGACCGTGCATGAAGCGGTTGCTGGGCCTTAGAACCAAGAACTTGATTCATGAACTTCCATGTTTTCGGTAGTCCTGTGCAAAACTTAGCGCTATGAAAGTTAGCAACCAGCGAAGCAGCTCAGATGCCAGGCTACTGGCTTTGGAGTTCTCGCAGTGAAGGTGAAGCAACCAAAGGTAAGCCAGGGCAAGTTCACATATATGCATATATATATATATACACAGTTTTTTCATTCGAACCACATTGATTGTTGTTCACACAGAACAGTTTGCGGGCTATTTTTTGCAAGTCCTTGGCTGACAGGACCTACTACGCCACTTCCAGATGTAGAGGAAATTGATGCGGCATTGTTCACATCATTCAACAATTCTTAGTTTTTAGGCCCTCACCTTCTCGATATGTTTTGACAAGCAGCTCTCAAGGAACTGCGGCGAAAGCGCTTGGAAGCTTTGCAGGCTGCGCAAGATTCGCATGAGTTGTGCACGATTGTTCACCTACCAAAAAATATGTTTTGAAGCTTTGACCCCTACCCATATGAACGTCGCATGGCATGACTCATGTCGAGTAGGGACGGTGGATTTACGGTTGCGAGCTGAGCAATCTCAGAGCAAATTCAAAGACGAGGCATCAATGGCTGCAGCTTCCAAGGTTCATGCCTCGCTTTAAGCGATCAGGGAAAGGAAGTGGTTATGTAAGTCCATTGACAGTTTAATTTTTTGGGACACAGATGGGCCCAAGGCCTCTGAAGCCGATGAGGGGCTGCGCCGACGTTCTGGGAAGGACGCTTGGGTGTTTCGAGTTCGGATTCGAAGCTGAGCGCTCACAGAGTCTTTACATGTTTATTCCTGTTGTGGATGTATGTTTGCTGCCCCGCCCCCCTCCATGGACCTAAGTCGAGATGACTTTTGCACTTGTTACCAACTGATAATACCTGCAAGGATGTTTCCTCAATTGTCCAAACAAACTACTACAATTGTTGTGCAAGCCTTATTGTTTGTGTAAGGTCCAGTTTGTACAAACGTGCTCCCCCTTCATTAGAACCTCTTTCCTGCAAAGGCCTTCATTAGAACCTTTTTTCCTGCAAAGGTCCTTTCCCTTTCCAAAGCTTTCTCTGACCTCTCAGTTGTGGGAATTGATCATGTATTGTGCACAGCACAAACTTGCCCATTAACGGTTCTCAACGCAACGTTTATGTCGAAGAAACTGTTTTCTACTATTGGGAAACTTGAATCTGCATGCGTCCAATCGCTTACCTATCAACAAATTCCATCCAAAGCCCGACTTGACACTTAAATGCAAATAAGTTTGTTGAAGGTTTGTTTTGGGATAGGGCCACGTGTTCGGAATGTTCGGAATAGGAGCACAGCCACAACTGCATCCACTGCTTACAAACAGCAGCACATCATGTGTCTGAGCTCCGCTCTCTTCGAATGGTTCGGCCTAAACCCTCATGTCCTGGTTGATTCTTTCTATTCATTTGCCTTTAGCTGAACCTATCCATGGTCCAACCATTAAGTTTTTGGGTTCGTTGCGAGACTAACTTTTGCTGTCGGATCAGAAGTCCAAAACCCCGAAGTCCAGTGTTCCAGACTCCAGTAGGAGTGAGAATTTGAAAGACAAGCTGCTCAAAAGAGTTGTAATTAACTGATATACAATGCAACGCTTTGGAACTGGATGCAGGTTTCAAGAATGCAGGGAAACTTCTTGAATCTTGAATCCAAACCCTCAAGATGCAGCCACTTGGATTCCGGGAATTCCCCTTGAATCTCAAATCTTGAATCATGTTGCAGCGTTGCAAGTTGCAACGTCTTTTTGTGCGAAACACTCTAAAGTATTGATTTGTGTTCTTCACGGTTCCACGTGCTCCCATCTGGTGCTCCCCCTTTTGACTCAAATGACATCAATATGTTCCCAGTACTGTAAATCGGTCCGTGCCGAAGGAGCCGAGGTGTTTCATGTAGGCATGCATGACAATTTGTCATTGCGTAGCAAGCACTTACAGCTAACCTAGGGCGGAATGCCTTTCTTGTTTAGAATCCAGAGTTCATCAACTCAACTTTTCTTGGGCGCCCTAATTCGCAATTAGGCTTGCAGGGCACTGCGTGATTGTTTTTCATGGCATTGGTGTATTAGTGGGTGCAGCAATGGAAACGGATTGACGGGTAGCTGCCGCAAGTCTCTATATTCAATCAAAATTGTTCTGGAATTAGTCTTTTGAGCTCCTTTATGGGTGTTAGTATGTATGAGTGGGTGTCTTTTCATGAATCGGTGCCCTTTCACGAGACCAGGGCTCCTCATTTTCCTGGAGTAATCACGCAACATAAGTGATTCTTTTCGAAGCTGAAGGCCAGGTAGCTAGCTATCTAGATTAATGCCGGCTATCTAGATGACTGAAAAGATGTCTCAGATGTCTGTGGGGCACACTTGGAGGCAGCTCCGCAGCCAACGGAAGCTGAAGCCTTGCGGCAGCCATGCGAACCGGCAGTGGTGCAAAAGCCAGTGTCAGAGACAGAACCTGTCGCAGCCGAGCCAAGGGAGCCAAAGCGAGAGCAAAGCTCCAGGCCAAAGACCGACACAGTTTCAGCGCCAGAGACAGCGAGTTCCAAAGCGCCAAAACCTTCCACGATTGCCACTTGGGCTGAGATAGTGAGACCACGTGGTAACAGCTAACAGGTTAAGTGGGTCCACTTAAGACAAATTCTGAAGTGATCTTGCTGTGAGGCCTTACGCGCAAGGGGGACTTTGCAAGGAAGTTCCCACTTGCGGAATTTCGAGATCCAGGTACTCTTTGAATTGGTGAGGTTTGTGGCCTGGAATGTTGTCATTTTTAACACTGAAATGAGGCAGAATCGACGGTGAACCACTTGCAGTCGCAGATCTTGAAGGCTCTCTTTCTCCGCATGCTCATCAGCCTAGCCTGGTGCGTTTCACTTGTTCCCAGCTACAGCTTTGCTCAGGGTACTTAGCTATTCGATATTTTGAGTGCAGGCTTTTCAGCCAGAGGCTTCAGGCACGACCTTTGAACAGCCACTTTCTGAGTGTCCACGGAACCAAACATGCAGGTTGCAAAGTGCGGGTGTTCTTCAATGGTAAGGAGCGATGCTTGATTTGCGGTTTAGTCTTCCGACTTCCTCAAAATAAGAACATTGAAGTCATGGGTGCTTGAGGTCTTGCGTTCCTTCCAGGAGCTTAAGAATCCAACAGAGACTGTGGACTCACTTGGATTGTCAAACAACACCTGCTTGCAGGCCTTATGTGGGCCTTGTATCGCTTTGCATTTACACTTTTGCATGTTCAAGCGGGGGGTTGTTGTTTCAATGGGGGGGGCTGCTATATATATATATATACGTTTTTGGTAAATATATATATATATATGTGTTTAGTAATATTGTGAAATGTGCAGTCACCGTCGAGCAGAGTTCGTATCGCCCCGCTTCTGGCACGAGTCCAAGGGAGGGCGGGGTTGTGGGACTTGAGACGCACGGAGGAAACAAGGACAGGGTCCTTCACAGGGTTGGTTGTAGGTAGAGGCAACCTAGGAGTAGGTAGGATAGGAGGTCCATTACCTACAGGATTCGCATTGGCAGCGGAGCCTCCAAACAGGAGGCAGGTTTTCAGGTGTTGATAAATTTTGTTCTCACGTGTTTTCACGTAGGTTGCACCAGGGTGTGCATTCGGTGTCATGGCGCCGAAAGCAGCGGCGACCGATGATGGTGAGGGGCGAAGCTCGATTTCGACAAGTCAGCTCCCATGGGGCCAAATCCCCAGCTTCACTGCAGGGGAGACCGATCTGGAAGACTTCGCGAAGAAACTCATGTTTTTAGCTTCGATCTGGCCGGAGGAACATATCGGACATCTTGCGCCCAGAGTGGCGTTGCAGTGCGATTCTGTCGCATTCAAAAAGGTGTCAAAGATAGATCCGGCCAAGCTGAAGTCCAAGGGTGGTTGCGAAGCAATCCTGGCAGCTTTGGGGATGCAGTGGGGTCGCTTCCTCAACGAGGATCGCTATGTGAAGTTTGAACGGGCTTTGTTTTTGACTACCCAGAAACCAGATGAGAGCAATGATAGTTTCATTGCAAGACATGAGGCGTGCTTTGAGGAGATCCTCCAGAAGGACAAGGGAGTGACGCTCGAAGAAATTCGAGCATACGTGATGATTCGGCGCTCTCAACTCACCAGTGAAGAGAAGAAGAAGATCATCATTGACAACAAAGGAGTGCTCACCTATGAAGCAACCCGTGAAGCCATGAGGCTCCTAGGCTCACGGTTCTTCCAGGATCTACAGGGAGGGTCAAATCGGAAGTTGAAGACCTACGATGTCCACACCGTTGACGAGACGGAACCAGTCATGATGACCACCGAGGAGACCTTCGATGAGGAGCATGCCTACCAGACCCTCCTGGAACAGGGAGATGAAGACGCCATCTTCATTCAAGAGTTTGAAGAACAGATCATCGAGGCAGTCCAAGAATCCGGAGATTTGTCACAGTGCTTCCTGAGCTATCAAGAAGCACGATCTCGCTTGAAGGAGCGAGCTCGTCATCGGGGCTTTTGGCCCCCTCGCTCGACAGGCAAAGGCAAAGGCCTTGGTGGAGGCGGAGGAAAGAAAGGAGGAAAGATGTCTTGGTCAGCTCCACCCCGCAAGACACTGGCAGAGAGAATTGCCAATTCGACTTGCAGGATTTGCGGCAAGGCAGGGCATTGGAAACGGGAATGCCCTCAGAGAGCTGATCGAACAGACCGCCAGACAGAGATGGCCACCATGGCGGAGGACTTCACAGAGATGACTCCAGAAGAACTTCCCGAAGACCTGCCGGATGAGATCCAGGAGAGTCCAAACCTACCTGAAAAATGTTTGAAACCCTGTCAGGCGTTTTCCATGAACCCCCAGAAAGAGTTTTTGACAGATTCAGTGATGGAGTTTTTGAAGGTTGGTAGTTGTGAGGTTGGTGAATGTTTTGTGTCATTGGAACTCTCGGGGTTTAAGAATGCGTTGTCCCGTGCTTTGAACCACCGTGCTAGGCCTCACAATGATTTGAAGCGTGACGAGCCAGCCGGGACGCATGCCTTTCGAGGCTTGAGCCATACTTTTCCAGTGAAACAGGCTTCATGCCCACCAGACATCCACTTGAGTCTGGAAGAGGATTTTGATGAAGCCATTTTGGACACAGGAGCCAGCCGCACGATTATTGGAAGTGATCGTGTTCCTCATTTGTTGAAGGCACTCAGAGGTGTTGAGGTGAGAAGAGAGTGTCGTGTCCAACCGTAACACTTTCTTGGACGCCAGCTCTTTTGCCGGCTTTTGTCAAACCAAGGCTAACCACGACAACTCGTAACGCGGTTGAGACATCCAAACGATTCTTGGTGACACCCAGCAGTTCTCCTGCGCGGAGAATTCCATAAAAACATAGTAACAAGCTGGTCGCGAAAGAGACATGGTGGTGATACAGGCTCCAGCCTACCATGGCATGCAGTACACTCTCTGGGAGTGGTGGTGCTCTGTTCGGCAGTTCACGGGTGACCCAAGTCTTGACCAAGCGCCGAGCGCCAGGGAGCTGCCCCCGAATCTTCGCATCAAAATCTTGTAAAGATGCTAGGGTGTCGGCGGCCAGTCCACGCCCTTCCCCCGATGTCCATAAGTGTTCTATGTACTCCATGACTAATGGGTCGAGAAATTCACGCCGTGTGGGCAAGACGAGGCCTTCCTCATTGAGAAAAGCCAAAAAACGATTCAAAAGCTCTATCGTAACGAATACGGGTTGCCGGCTGTACAGTGAGCCCGCGCAGGCTTCCAAGACGTTGCCTTTCTCTCGCTCTGATGGCCTGGGTCGATCCTTCAAGGACGGCCTTTGGCATGTCGAAATTTCGTCCTTACTGACTACCGCGATGGTTTGTCCGCCGGGTTGAGGTCAGTGTGTACATATCCCCATAGGCCGCCCAATGTTGTGGGCCAACATAAGCGAGTTGATTCGGCAAAGCGTCCTTCGAAGGCGTCGGGAAGATGTCCGGCCACGTGTGAGGCTGTGGAGGCATATACAAGTGAATCTGTCAGGTGTAAAATACGACAGGAGTGTTCTTTGACATGTTCACAACGCCAGCGGAGGCAGGCCAGAATGGCCCGCAACTCCAAGGAGTTGATGTGTTCTCCTTGACATCGCCACCGCCATCCGGATACCACCTTCCAGCGCCACATCTTCGCATTTACTGTGTGCCTCAAACGTTTAGCTTAAATCTCATCCTGCGCGGCTGTGAGCATCAGATCAGAACCCTTGGTTGATACGAGGCGTCCCAGTTGTTTGACCAGGGTATCCTGTGGTACCCCGCTCTCAGTTCGATCAGGATGTAGGGGTGGCCGCATCAACCGGGATTGTAAGAAGGGGTTGCCCTCCAGGGTAATCCGCGCCATAATCTCCTTTGGCCCGAGACAGGGCCCTGCTCCCGGGGGCCCCACCAGTTGCCCCAACAACCATGCAATGACCGGAACTGCCCAGGCATTCCCCACCAGAGTCAATCGCTTGTCGCCATATTCCACAGTCTTCCGTTGAGACTTTGGTAAGCACATCTGTGTGTAACCTACTGGTAGCCCCATCATGTACTCCCGCTCGTGGATTGATGGCAACCTGTATTCACCCCGTGCGTTTACTAGGCAGTTGCGTGGGACGTACTGGTACGGGGGGAAACGGTGGAGGTCCTCTTCCCACCGAGTGATCGTTGCCTCATCGCAAGCATCCAGGCCTGCAGGGCGATGTCCCCGAGTGGGGCGTGGCGGGGATGTTGTAAAGGTTGGAAAGGGCCGGTCTCGGTCTACCTTTTTCCAGCCAACCTCGACTGCCGAGGTCCAGGGCTCGTGCCCCGTCAGCACTATCTTGTCGCCGTCAATCCACACCATCCGGATCTTCTTCACATATTCCCCATGTCACCCAATACAAGCGTGGCCGGCTGCGCCAGCAGAGGTGTCCAGCATCGATTGACCAAGGGCTGTCCCCGAAGGATGACATGGTCATCCATGGATGCCACGCTTTCCATCAAGCAGCGGGTTTGCGCCCAGGGAAATGCCTTTGTACCAAGTCTCGCAACCGTCGTACGTGTACGAATAACGCGGAACGCTCGTCCTTAAGTGCCCCCTTGCGCTGGTGTTCAAGCCTGATACTCCTTGACAGGGAGGACCAGCCCCGATGATGACCAATGAGGCTTGATGTCGTCGTAGTGTAAGCTGGCGGGGAAGTGGCGCTCCGCCACTCTCCTGGCTGCAGCATCTTTCTCAACCGAAATGTGCCCAAGTACGTCACAGCCCAATCCGTCTAGAGCAACCCGAAGGCAGCCTATGCCGTCGAACAGGCCGATCCTCAAGACTGCCACGCTGTTCCCTGCCGCCATGTCGCGCTGCTCCTGTCCTAGGGCCACCTTTTCCCCGTCGTCGCCGCGCAAACTCCTCCACCCTGCTGAGACGCATCGCCGCAGGTAACCACTGGGTTCAAGTCCAGGCGGAAATCCATTCGACACAACGGCGCCAGGCAGAGGAAACGAGCAATTTCCAACTTCACACCGGGAGGTATGGCCTGATGATGCCTTCCGCACGCGTTGAAGGACCCAATGAAAGTCCAACAGAGGTTCAACCCTCCGAGCAACTGGCGCCTGAAGGGCGAGAAATAGACCAGTCCTCCGCAGACAACTTGCATCTGCCGTTGAGAGCAGGACGCCTCCTTCAGCAGCTGGTAGGCGATGGTCATGTATTTTGACAACTTTTGCCCCTTAGGGTAAGCTATGCCCCGAGCCCCATCAAGCACTGCGCCTTGTGCCTCTGCAGTAACCTGCCTCGCGACCGCCTTCCCTGGATGACGTGGCAAGCCCCACGACTGGTACTCCTCTTGGAGTGCTTTGACTTCAGGCGCAAGCCCTGTGGAGTCTCGCCCGGGGGTCTCGTGGGGGAATATTTCAAGGAGGTCGTAGTTGTCTAAATAAACCCTCCATACTGCTTTCCCTTCAGGTAAAACCTTATCCTTGCGTATCTCCTGTGCTGCAACCCTGCGCTCCAGATTCCGGTGTTGGGATCTCTGCACTAACACACGGTGTACGCGCCACACTGTTGAGGAACCCCATCGGCAATACCTTTGAGCAAGGATAGCACGTGACCTTGACACTCCGCCGGGACTAGCCTAGTAGGTTTGTTGAAACAGAGGTACGGGTACCAGCATGAAGGCAGTCGCAGCGTATAAAAGAAACAACGCAGGTCCTCGCTGGACACCAC